ATAATAATATATTTAAACCTATTTATTTATTCACTATACCAATTTATGTTTTTAAGTTTAAATCATTTTTATATCATTTTGTTCTACTTTGATTTATTTCTTTTTATTATACTTAAGTAATTTTAAAGCAACTTATTGTACACGTAGTAGTTCAGTAGTTTTTATAATTGTTTTTTAGTAAGATAAATTTTTGTTTTTAATACGATTCGCAGATTAATATAATAAAATATACAAACACGATATTAATATTTTTATAATTTTTAAATGGAGTTGTTTTCCTTTGTATGCTTTTATATAAAAAGGTGCAGTAGAACATAAACTCTCTAAAACATCGATACATGATATTTCTTACACATTGAACGATAAAAAATAACTACCATCTCTAAAGTAATCCACTCAAAATTATAATAGAAACTAGGACAATATACGTTATGATAAATAATAATAATAAAATGTACAATATCGTATAACAATGTACCTATCGTGTTTAATAATAATAAACGTTTTACGCTTATGATGTAGCGCTATTTGGTTTACTGACTATGTAAGTGCACATAAAACGAACGAGAATATAATAAGTTTATGATACATAAAAATAATGTATAGATGAAATATACGTGTATTTTGATTTCAAAACATGGTGGCGTCGATGATGGTAGTATAAAATTAACTTCCGCAACCAGTAATGCATAGTTTTGTTTTATAAATATACCATATCATCATTGTCATTGTTATACTTAATGTGGAGACTTGATTTTATCCGATTTTTAATAAACGACCGCATTTTAATTTGTCAAATTCGTCGTCGCGACGTTATTAATATTCGAAAATGGATTTTCGGTCTAAAATATCTCGTTGCGTCCACGAGGTTAACCCCTCGCGGGGTATCATACTGCTGTAGTAGACAGGACGTTAATCATAATAAAATGTATAATAATAATAATAATACCACGATAACCGATCGAATGACCCGCTGCACTGGTTTTATATGGTTTCGGCGCAGTGCAGTAGGTATTGGAATACCGGAGATGAAAACCGCAAGAAACAATACCTGTGCCAGACATGTTCGTTGAAAACGAAACCGACACGGTAAGATAAAAATAAAAAAATTGTACAAAACAAAATGAGAAAGAAAATATATTACGCATTAATATAATAATAATATTATATTGTCGCTGGTCAATCTGTGTTTTCCCAACTATTATGCATTGGAGACAAAAAACTATTTCGTCGCTATAAGTTCTAGAAGTCGATATTCCTCAAACAATTATTTTTATCAGCTATATAAAACGTTTTCTGAGGTTTTCTGAGTAACAAATTTTACCGAAAATAAATTTTCATTGAAAATTCGCGAGATCGACCTTGGTATAATGCATAATTGTTCGTACTTAACTATATTTAAGGCGCGCCTGTGCGTTGTTTGATCAACAAACGAACTTGGACGATTCAACCGCAATGATGTTTTTATTTTTCACATCGAACATCAAATAACAATATACATTATTATGTGATTCTAACGTCAAAACTAATATAGCGAATCTCACGAGACGCAATTCCGTTGATCGTACAAACAAAAATATGAATTTTTCGAACCACCTCAAGCAGTGTACGTACATAATATTGACAGCTATATCACGATAATGTGTGCACGCGGGCGACTATTGGGATTAAAATGTTTGGATCGCGATACGATATTTCACACGAGTTGGCGAAGTTGCGACACCGTTGTCGAATCCGTCTCGTCCCGTACCGAGAAACGTGTGCGTCCATACACGGTACGCCTTACGTCAGCGTCGCAGAGCCGCCGGATGCTGCGTAATGATGACGACAGTGACGACGACAAAATCTCGAACTCGCGAAAAAAAAACGGAACTAGAAGAAAAAAAATTAACAGCTCTTATAACGCTATGAAACGCCTGCACGGCGCGCCGTTTCCTGAAAGTCTGGATTCCAGCCGGTTGTGTGTTTTATTCACTCGGCTGCGCGAGCTGTACGACGGCGTTCAGATTTGTTAATAATAATTATCACGGGTGCTTGTACGTAACAACGGTGTACACGCAATTATTTTAACGCTAAGACAGTATATAAGGGTACGCCGCCGACGACTCGACAAAATAGGAATAACTGTTACGCAGACGCGCGACGGCGATCCTCTGCGCGGTGCATATCGTATTATCACTATTAGTATACCTACGTATTATACATATTATGTCATAATTAATACTTATATTTAATACGGTAGTGCCGTACAACTAAGTACGTAATGTTATGTAATTAAACTCGGTGATATGAATTATTGCCCGCAGCATCCGGCGAAGGCGCGTGTCATAATCCCGAGTTCCGGTATTATAATATTATATTTATTATTTACGCGATTGATAACGATTGACACACATCCCGATCTACAAACCAATGCGGCGGGGCCGTAATTATTATTATTATATTATTATTATTATTATTATTATTATTATAAAAACTATAAAAAGTTTGATCACTGTCATTTCTATATAATATATTAACATATTGATCTCTCCACCGGCTCGAAATAGACCGCAATGGCGTTCAGCGGATCATAATATTACGCCCTTTACACCCGTTTCTGTTGTTCTCATATTATCTAGGATATTAGAATTCGGATTTGTGAAAATATTAATTACCTATTGAAAAAATATAATTTACACCGTAGCTTTTCTGTATTGTATTAAAGCAATAAAAAATAAAAATTAGAAATCGTATTTATATATAATATAGTCAATACATTGACAAAAGCGTTCACAGTTTCGAATATCAAAGCAATTTTGTTGTATGTATTACTAAAACTGTACCATTTCAAAGTCAATGATTTTAATTATTTATTGTGATGACTCGCCGTCAACGAATTCAATCTTGAAAAATATATTCACTCATGATTAATCAAAGGTATAAGAATTCAACTGATGAAACTTCAGTAGCAAAAACGAAATATAAAAAACAACAAATTTATACTATGTGCAAACTATTATGAGAATTAAATTGTTAATCGTATACTGAATAGTTGAATTAACTAAATTAAAATTTCGTTATACTGTTATGAACTGTTATTTTAGTTTAATATTAAACTTCATTTTAATAAATTCACAGTAAAATGTTTAAAATATATTATTTTCTTTTGTTAAAACAAGAATATTTACCTATTTGACTATTTGTTGGTTAAAATTAAATTAATAAAATTATTTTATGCTAAAAAAATCGTTAAAATAAATTATAATTATATCAAAATAGTGTACAATTTATTGACTTATTATTGTTATTAAAAAAAAAAAAAAAATTAATATAAATACGGCGTAGACGTGTCATTACAATATGTTATCATTTAAATGAAGAGACGCGAATAATTGATTTATGTGCAAAAAAAAGCTTAAAGTCATGAGTAAATTATTTTGAAATTTTTAAAACAAAAGGTACAATTACCATATTAATTTTATAAGCGTCTTGGTCCGAAAAATTTTCCATTTTGAGCTCTACATTATATTATCAAAAATATACATTTGTATACTCTATAGCTATAATTCACAATTCTAACCTACAACTAAAGTACATAGATGGCAATTCTTTCTCATAGTTGTGTTATATCAATGGTTCCCAACCAGGAGAAATTTAAATACTGCATGAGGAGGGGGATATAGAGACGATGAAATATTTGTGAGTATAGTTTTTCCACACTTTTGAAAATAAAAAGCAAACAAATAAATCAGTTGGATGTGGAAAATATAAACGATGCATATTGTCAAAAATATCTCAACGGATTAAGGACTTGGTTGAAAAAAAAATAATCTAAATTTCTCATTAAATTTATTATACTTATAATATATTTTAAGAAAATAGTATTTATGAAATTGATGTATTCAAAAATATAAAAATAATGTTATTAGTTATCAAGTTGACTCATATTTTACTTTTAAAATTATGAAAAAAGAAAATAAGTTATTATTTTTATAATATATAGTTTAATACAAGTAAAACAAAAAAAAAGTCTTCTAAATTCTAATTTAAAGGGAGGGGCGTGAGATTTTTAAAAATTTACAAGGGAGGCGTAGAATAATAAAAATATGAGAACCACTGTGTTATATAAATAACAAAATTACCCGAATATTTAAGTGATAATTAAAACTCGTTCCTTAATTTGTAAAAAGATTTTAAAATATACTCTTAAAGGAGTCAAAACATGCAATAATAGAAGCAAGTTAAAAATGTACGCCAACAGAGCATTCGTGCCTTAAAATATAAATGAATTATATTCATCCCACCCTATAGAGTAACGCCGATATTCAAATTTGCAAACTTTGCACACTAAGACGTTAACGCTCAAATAACGCCAACAATACTGTGCCTAAATATATTAAGAATATAATATGTATTTATTTATATATTATATTGTATTGTATAAGGTAACGATTTATATTTATATATATAGTGAAAGTATGAAATTATACATTTAAAACAAACATTAAAAAAAGGCTTATTTGCTAATCCCCAACATGAACGCATTATCCTTTTAACTAGTTTCCTTCAACAAGAAGTATATTGCGTTTAGTAGAACCAACTTTATGCTGGTATTAGCTTTATACTATCAGAATGAACTCACCTATTACATAACTTAAAATTTAAGATATTATCTGTATTAAATGTATACGTTGACTTTCTAACAATGTTCCAATAATTTTGAAGCAAGATAGGGACCTTTGTTAAACATTAGTTTTTAAATTTTGATTCATAATCAAAACTTGCATAAAATATTGAAATATCGTAAGAAATCCAACGCGCAAACATAGATAATATGAATTATTAACTTAAAGTTTAATAACGGGTAAACGCACTTTAACACTTATAATAACAACACGACATTAGCTCTACTGAACGAAAATTTACGATGTTGTAGGTGGTTCGCTGATAAACAAAACAAATAATGCGCTTAACATATTATTAAAATATAAGATGATAATCGTTCCGTTGTTTTTCAGCTTTTATCAGACAATACCACCGCGATGGACGTCGATGGCGCCAACGATGACGATTACGTGTTGACGCCGCTACAACCTGAAGCCGGAGATCCGGAACCAGATATCGGAAACAATGATGGCAATGACGGCAGTGACGAGGTAGCTGACGACACGGAAACGGCAGCTGATGACTACGTCCAATCGCTGGTCACAATCGAATCCAACTGGGCGAACGGTAAGTGTAATTCAAAACTCAAACCCATAAGATCACATATTTCCAGGCGTACAGGAATACATCAGGCAGATTTCAGGATTATAATTATCAGTATTTTCAGTATAAACTTATCACCATATGTCTTCTTTAATAAATATGAAGTTGTTTCATCCATCGGTCAATGAAAAGATAGAGGCTATAAATCTTGAAAATTACAAAAAATTTCTCGGCTGATCGTTGAAGTAAAATCATCAAGGCATTTTTTTAATCTAATTACTAAAATATAAAACGAAAAACACCATGTCATATCTGTCGATAAAATACGATTGAGCATCATAGTCTTTTTGGAACAAAATATTCATCGATTGAACATACTGTCTTTTTTTGTTCTCTGTTCCAACATTGTTAAATCCAACCATCGATATTATTTTGAATATTAGTAAATAAGTTAAAGTCTGTGTTAAGGGTGTTATCCATATTTCGTATCTACATAGTAATAAACTATATAGTTTGCCATTTCATGGTTTAATATAATATAATTTTACCATGCATCATATATTGTAAAATGTAATATAAATATTAGTTATTACTATAATAACGTATTACATTTTTTAATGTTTTATAAATAACTAATAATTTAATAGATTAAAATTTCAATACCTTTTTACCTTACCTTAACTTTATTTAAAACTTGCATCGTATATTTTTCTCATTACCTCCGCAAACAAACAAATATTAAGTTTTGTTATTATTTTCTTGAAAAAATTAATAAAAAAGATTAAATTAGAAACTTTTATCTTAAATGTAAGTTGTAACCAAGTTACAGACTATACATTGAAATTATATTAAACTTATAATCAGTGACCAACAACTTTCGAGTGTTATTAATTATTATATACCCAGTTATAATTTAATTGATTTACATACTTTATTGATATATCAATACATTTTTCATAAACTGACAAGGTTTGACTAATAATTTTTGACTTGTCCTTATTAGCTCATTGAATAAAGTCATATCTCACATAATATCATGCTCAATATAATTAGAATTCGGTATTAACGATGAGTTATTTATGAAATTTCAAGTATCTATGCTTTATCAATCGACTAGAAAAGTCTGTTTTTAGTTTTATAGATGACCAACTAAATTATAGCAAAAAATTATTTTTAAAAGATTAAATTCGAGAATAAGTCTTTTCTGTAGTGGCCAGCATTGAGTTTTTTCCGAATAGACATCCTTTCAATCTTAAACCCGCCACTACGCATGTCTCTTAAATTAATTTTACCCAAGTATTTTTCCGCCCCACCGTGGAATCTCCACCCTTGCCACAGCACAATGTTCAATGGCCAACGAGATCTTTCAAATAATATCGTTTGACGAAACTTGTGGGGACTTTGATTACGTTAGTTCATATGCTATTTTCGCAACTTTAGTGGTATAATAGTATTACGTCTCACGCAAATCCCGTATTTTCAGAATTATCGATTTAGTAGTTACCTATATATATATATATATCTGATACTTGATGTAGTATTAAGTATCGCTAGTTCAACTTGAGTATATAATATAAAACGTGCAGGTATATACGCACATATTTTACTATTTTTTTCAAAACATGATCGAGTTAAATGGAGAAAATCATATTTATCCTCATACGTCAGCACACGTTAGATTTTATGTGCAGTATATATGAAATACGATGAAAAATTATTACGTTTTTTTGTTCACTGTTAGTTTGTCGCGTTCGGATCTCTCTTGTACGGGGCCGTATAAGTACAATAATAGCGTAGACACGTAAGTATATATTTTTATACCTAACCTAACCAAACCCAACCTCCGCGTATTACAGTATGTACATGCATACACGCAGTGGCTTTTATAAATCAAATTATTTTATAATATTTCCGTCTGCAATGTTGACGAAAGCGCCTTAAAAGCACACGAATTTTCTTTTGTTGTATTTTTACATTGCTACATGCTTCTAGCTAAACCGCAAAACATTATTTATTTTTCTTCTTTTATTCTTTTGCGTCTATCTACATATAATACAGAGTTATGTAAAATATTAATAATCACTACTTATTGTTTCACACACTTCTCTTCAGCCACATGCAGAACTGCAGTCATAAATACAAAATAATAATATCCGATTTAAATATCGCTCGACTTCAAAATACCTAAACACGTATTAATGTTTATGTTCACATGATTTTTGTAATTTTTGATCGAATTTTATGTGATAATATGTGAAATCACGGTGTATTATTACAATACATCTTCTGTTCATATAAAATGCACCATTACAAATGATGTACCACTGTAATTTTCTTGACAATGTGACACGCGTTCAATTTGATAATATCCGATTATCGCCACTATTTTGAAAATGGTTATTATTAGTTCGACAAGTTAAACGCACAATCATCGTTATTCTAATAAAACGCAATATTTTAAATTCAAAAAATAATTCATTAAACTGAACTTATTACTTAATTATCTTTAAACCGATAAGATTTATAGTAAAATTATTAAAATATTATTACGATATCATTTGAGTTTTTAATACGAATATCGAAGGTTAAAATGAATTATCCACCGATTAAACATTATATTGTGATATACCTAGTACAGTTGTACGTATATGTTTCATTAGCCTGTTATGAACATTTTAATGATATTAAATATCCAATATAGAGAATCAAATGGCTTATTATTAATTTAATATCGTTTGTAAACAATGTGAAAGAAAATTCATAGTTCATATTTTTCATTAATCCGGCATCATTTAGAATAGGTATCTTTGTATATTCTATGAATACATATATGATATAAGTGTATATTTTTACCTAGGTTCTGTGTTCAATAAATTCTTCGACATCAATTATTTTTATTTACAGAATCAATACACAAAAATAATGTCGTGCAATATTTTTAATTTTATTTATTCTTTCAGTTAAATTTTAAGTGCAATTAGCTTTTAAATTAATTTATAATATATCTATATATTACACTTGAAACAAATTATTGTAATAAATTAAACAAAAAATATATTATAGACTGTTTATTAAAACCTAACAAAAAAAAAATCTTAAAAAAGCGTTTAAAACAAATAAAACGTTTGTTTTATATTATTTAAAAAAAAACTGTTTTTTCAAACCCAGATTATACTGCACTAGTTAAATATTTAAAGCGTTTTCTATAATATGTATGGGTGTAAATCGAGAAATATTAATATTGTAATAATTATACGCTTAATATGTGTAGTGAGTATATTAATTGTTGTTACTGTTTTTTACGAAACTCAACGTTTAAAACTTATAAAATTTTCATAAATATTGTATTGTATGATATTACACTTAATTAATGTACATATAAATATTTGGTAAACGAAAAAACAACGAAATTATTGCGTAAAAAATGTAATTGATAAAATTTAAATAAACTTAATGGGTAAGACAGTCGTGGGTAAATATGAATTTTAAAACTCTATATATACTACATATACATGTCATTGTAAACTATACCTACATAAGGATATTGGAAAGACAAATTTGGAAATATTTTGGGTGTCGTATAGAACATTTTACTTTGATTGCACGAAATACAGTTTTTGAGACGGTACTAAAATTTACACTCGATCGGGCTAGCTAGGAAATACAGGTCAACAAAGTATATACTTTTCACATAACATATCTAAATAAACAATCCGATAACTTTATTGAATAAGGATAAATGCATTACGTTTGAAAAAAAAATATGTCCATCAACCTACGTCATTCAAAAATGGTAAATACTACAAAAGTAAAAAAACATATGTACATATAAACGTGCTGTATGTATTTGTATGAGTTTACTAAAAGAACTTTTATAAGTGCTATACATATTATATATTATATGACCGAGTTATAGACGCAAATTAGTTATCGACTTCCTGTTCACTTTTTTTTTATTGTACTATATTTATTTATTTCTCTATTACTAATAAACCAATTATACACACCGTATATATAACCGTAATATTCAATTAATATTAATATTATTTGATTAAGTACAATTTTTTACTTGTAAATTGATATTTAGATATATTGATTGCAATTATAACGATAATACATTCTTTTATCCGTAGATAGTATAAATAGTAAAAAAAATTAAAAACTAATAAAGAACATTTATAAACGCATTTAATTATCCATAATACTTGTATATAAAACATGACATTTTTTTTAACAGTTGTTATTCTTTTACCAATAATTACTCATTATATCGAACAGTATCCAATAACTTTTTTTATAAAATATTAACTATACACAATACAAATACTTTATGGTAATCTTGATTTTTTTTTTTTCATGCTTACATATTTTTCGATTAATCAATCTATCAACTTTTGATTCACCAACCATAATTTCAAATATTGTAAATCATAAATAATAACACTTTTCTGAAAAATATTGGTGTAAGTACAAAATCTTGTCGGATATCGAACTTTTATAGTTTTTTAAGCATTAAAACTTTAGATTAGCTCGTACGTTGAACATTTTGCTTAGACCTCGAGTACTCTTGAAGCTTTTAGTATACTATATTTTAGATCATATTTTATAATATGGAAAACTTGTTCAGAACTCCTTTTTTCGGACATGCGTATCTATGACAATACATAATAAACGAATTATCGAATTCGAATAATGGCTAAATTTTTATTATTTATGTAATATTACATTTACAGTAATGTACCCGCGATATCTCGAATCGTTAGCGCAGCCATCGCCCGTTGACAGAAACTGCGCAGACGTCATTCTATATAGGTATTTGCGACAAATATTTCAAACGCTGTTACTTTTAGATGCCGCATGGAGCATATTCTATCGCCCGCTTTTCTGGTGTAAACAAATATAGCTTTCAAACATATTATTATAATATTATTATACTTATAACACACGCACACACGCTGTCTCCAGATCTTATAGCGACTGCCGGTAGTGAATAACGACTGGTCGTTAGTGCTGTCTTATTATGT